TCGCGCGGGATGGGGAAGGAACAATAATGTGTTATAGTGATAAGGACGATTAGGTACTGAATGCTTAGATCATGTACTTTGCTCATGCGCAATGATGACTTCGGGCACAAACAGCTATGCTTCAAGATTTTAAACCATAGCTCTATCCAGTGTATATGATCTAAGGTTTTGGCAATGGATTTGTAGCAGTTATCAGATATTTTAACTCTGGCATAGCTTTTTATAATGTTACGGATAACTGAAACGAGTGACGTGGATTGGAATTTGCTTTAGGAGAGAGACAAAAAATTGTCATACATATACCTACCTTCAAGAAACCTTTATTACTCTATATTAAACCGAATTTCAGTTTTTTTAAAAGATGTAATATCTGTTTTCTCACAGACATTAATACCGATTCCAGATAGAATATTAAAGACACGATTAAAGACTAAAGTATCCAATTTTTTTTTACTTCTTAAAATCCATTTGCCTGCGGGCGCCAGCCATGTTTCTCTTCTAATTAGTAATTGTTGTATTCATTATTTTATATTATTTCTAGTTAATATTTATATAGGTATATAATTCTGCTGTACGTGTGTACCTATGTCACTGAACTCCTCATAAACGGCTAGACCGATTTGCATGAATTTTTTCGTATGCGTTTGGGGGACGCCCTGGATGGTTCTGCATATTTAGATTCACAATTTGACCCGATAGGTTCGACCCTGGGAGTTGCTCAAATAGGGATTTTAAGATTTACGAAGGAAATATTTGTTTATATACGGTTGTTATTGGTTATAGGACAAATATAAACATATTTAGTAGGAATTGGTATTTTTTTTTGTTTATTGGTTGCCTGCAATAGTTCATTGGGCAGATCAGGTATAAGTATGCTTACAATTGAATTTTCGCACACTGCCAACCAAGGTGGCCGAGTTTCACTTATAGCCTCTCATCGGCGTGTCCTTAATCAAAATCAAAATAAAACATATTATTTATATAAAGTACTCATCAAGCGGGGTCCGCAATCCACAACAGGTAGGCATAATATACTGCTCGCATTATCACCATCGAGTCTCATATAGAATTGGCATTTTTAACGGGCAACCAAGGGCATCGGATCAGCTAGTATTTTATACAGATTTTTTAAACTTTGATTATCTGATGCCTTCTAAGTATTGATTCTACTACAAACTAATTATTGTGTATAGTTTTTTTGGTTTAAGAATTTTAATATTAAAGACATGCAGTCTTTAGTATATGTAACAACTGTATAATTTTCTATACATTTTTTCTTGCTACTTAAAATGCATTTGCCTGTAGGCGCCCGTGTACCCCTCCTCATTTTCTTTTTCATTGTTTTAATTAGTTGATTTTTTCGTATACAGATTTTTAATTTTTTTTTTATTTTGCACCTTGAAATGCATTTTCCTTCGGGCGCCCATGCTCCACTTCCAATTTTCATTTTTCGTTAATATAGCTCTAGTGGATGTCGCTCTGCTCTACGTTAGGTGTCTAGAAAGTCGCTGTAACGGATGGTATTAAATTTGAATTCAATGAAATTATATCACTGTATATGAAAAACGATTCTGAGCGGAGACTATATGTCAGTCTATGAAATTTTATATTGTTATTACTTGTTATACTAATCAATATTAGCTATCAGTGATGCTGGAATAATATTATGTATACTTATGTACAATTATGCTGTTTTGGATCCGAATTACAACAAAATGACAAAAATTGTTATTTTTTGTGTTCGTATGTCATTTCGTCCAAATTTGAACTTAAAATGTCTGTAAAAAATAACTGTATTCATATATTTTTTATATTTTGTAGTTATGAAAAAAACTGCGTAAATGGAACCTTGTCTTAAATTTTTGACTACAAAATCATTTTTCAATTTTCAATTTGATAAATGGTTGTCAAAATTTGAATTTTAAATGTTTATAAAAAAAAATCGAGACCATGTATTTTCAATAATTTTCAACTACTATTGTTACAATATATCTATCAAGAGGCTTGTATTAAATTTTCATTCTTTTTTATAAAAAACAAACAAGAAAATGAAAATTGAAAATATCCGCCACCAACTTATTAAAACAAGTCAAAATATTTTGAAAAATTGATCAAGTATATGAATTGATGAAATAAATATATAATGTAAATTTCAAGTGTCTACAGTTATTTGTTTTAGAATTACAATAAAATAAGAAAATCGCTACATGAGAAATCTAGTGAATATCCAATATCCAATGTAATATTTTCAATTTTAAACTCTCATAATAATTTAATTTGGTTTTCCGGTAGATATTTTTTTATTTGATTAAGGTAGACAAACGTATAAGGAATCTTGTATTAAATTTTTAAATCTTAGATATAAAAAGAAAAATCTTTATGTATTTCCAATTCAAAATAATTTGATAACTTTCGTGATTTTTATGAATTTTGTCAAAATTCTAAATTTAGCAAACAATTTTTCGACAAAAGTTATAAAAAAAAAAATAATAGTTGAAAATTTCATATGCCTATAAATAGTTCAACATGAGTCAAAATTGTATAGAAAATGCTAACACAAACATTAAGTGAAAATTGCATGCACCATATGGTCTTTTTTTTTTAGAGTTACACTAAAAACTAAAATCGATTTTTTCGAAAACTCGCTTTAAGTCGGGATTCCCGCTTTTCCTTAATTTTTTGTTGGTTTTTCCTGTCGCTTTTGAAAAACATTGGGAATTTCAAGAATGCACTAACTAGATTCACTTTCCTTTTAAAAAAGTTGGTATTGAAGAAAATGGAAGTTTTTTTACTGCCTCAAACCGTGATGACATATAAAAAAATAAAATAAAATAAAAAAACACACATCATTGTAAAATCAATACATTCATCGCTCCGCTCAGAATCTAAAATAAAATTTTCAGTCGTAATTTATTTATTTTTACTATACAAAGATCCGATAAGTGAGTTTTATTTATTACTATATAGAAACCTCAGGGTCCAAACAGGTGGTCGGATTTGGTGGGCGTTAGTTTGCCGTCTGGGTTTTTTCAGTTTTTGGTATATTAAGTTATTAGAATTTAGATTGTGGTCAACAGTGACGTTTTTCGTCGACTGGTTAGTTCCCCAATTAGCCGGCTCCTCCAGCGCATTTACTGTGCTAGTAGGAAACCGGCGACCGGCCGCCAAAATCCGATTATATGATTGTTGAGTAAGCCACGACCTTGACGCTTTTTGGTCTCGACGCGGCTAAGTCCATGGATCCAACTTACGCTACCTTTCCTAAAAAAAGTTATTTACTTTAAAAATACAAAATTATTTAAATCATTTAATCATGATACTTGCCCAATTTTTATGTTAAAAACGATGCATCTTATATTCAAATTCTGATTTTGAATTTTTAAGTGTATAGTTAAATACGATATTTTTAAATACTATTATAACACAATATTTAAGAGGACCCGTATGTGTTATCTTTGTCTTACACTCCTACAACTGTACATTTTACACCATAACAAAAAATGTTTTGTGCGAAATAGAATACCCACTCAGTTTGTAGTATTCCTAGTAGATACACCAAAGGTGTACACAATATAGAAGATAGAACTTTTTACGTCATAGTGATTATATTTGTTTGATGTCGTTAATAAGAAAAAAGTTGAAATATTTTTAAAAATCTGATATTTTTTTGTTTTTTTCAAACTTTAAAAACTTTTAATGTATTGGTCTTGTAACTGGAATTTGAGTAATATACTACTATCAAAATATTTAAAAAGAAGTTGGGTTCTAACATAATTTTAACCCAAATATATTTACTGTAGGTGTTATGCAATCATTGACGAAGTTGGATAAAATCAAGGAATATCGTCTGTACATGGACAAAACTAAATCAAACAAGAATTCAATTTGATTGATGAAGGACGTTTAACCGTTTAAGTATACTATGATCTGTATAATCAAAATAAAAAATATAATGATAGTTTAACTCAAACTCAAATAAACCCGTAATTACCGGTCATGATTTTATTCTCAATTGTCACCTCAGTGGAAAATTGTGTGAATCATGTTACTTGGAATTTAATGAAAAATCATTGCGTTAAAAAAAATAGACTCTGAGCGGGGACGATGTTTGACTGACGTCTATATTTTTGATTTATATATATACATACTAAATATATTACATACATTATAGAGCAAGAAAAAGTTGTTGGCACAGTCACTTCGACAAGTTGTATTTTAATTTTATTAAGTATGTGACTATAATGCAGTAACGACTGAATAAAATTTAGGAGATGACTAGTCTCACAAACTCCATAAAAACCATTATTGTTGTGTCTCCACCTCCTCCGATCTTTTATCTACCATCTATAATATTAGAATAGAGACTGTAGATCGACCGGTTCATTTATTTTACTACCGTTACTAGCCGTTACCACCTAGCCGTTATTGCTAATTATGAAAATAGCTCAGAACGTATGTTGTATTTGGTTAGGGGCTGACAAAAGTAAATTTACAGGTGGATTTTTTAAAGAATTAAAATTTTTTTTTGCATTGTATAATTATTGGGGAGACGCTGTCTCAGAGTTTTCCTTGACTGCTATAAAAATATCATCCTCAATATACCGACATTTAGGAATGTTCAAAACGTGGTTTATTCCATATTTTCCAGAATAAAAAATTATTATATTCATATACCATATTATAAGAATGCTACAACCTTATAGTTAAAGTTGTATATTGTACACACGCTATTTGTATAAGATTACACTAATACCCATAACTTACAGACAATATAATACCTACTAAATGAATTATAGACGTGAATTGATATATTTGTACACTGTTATATTATATATCATATAAATTAAGTTCATTTTACCGTGCAGTTGTCGCCGAGAACATCGTTTAAACACAATATTATGTACATAACTACCTACTCGTATACATGTAATTTATATATAAATACTGTATACAAATTAATTACGGTGCACATGTACAAAATCACAAAATGCATTATAAAGTTTATTTAAAATACATATATTATATTATGATAATAATACAACTTAAAACGTGTTTCCTATTAAATCCATGTAAGTGTAATATACAATATTGTCTGCACGGGTTTTTAACTTTTATCATACAATCTTTCCTAAAGCTAACTTTGTATCGTAAAAAACTTAAACATAATTTCGTAGTTTCATTCGATGTAAAATACATAGCACAATATTATGCTATATATATATAAGTGTATAACGAACGTCAAACAATGTATGTACAAAAGAAAATATATATATATTATGTATATTTTTGTCGTACTCTTTGCCATTTCGTATCTACACGTTAATAATATCAATAACTTTAATAACAGTATGTACTCTTTTAAAACTATATAATATTATTTATAACATTTATAACTGTACTTATATAAATTTAAGTGGATTCGCTTATATAGTTATACAAATTACAAATTACTACATAACAATAAGATAATATTGTTAACACAAACTACACGTGTTCAGTGTAGCATAAAAAAATAATAGGTACTTATAACATATAGATATACAGATTTGACAAATCAACAATGAACGTATGTTTTACAAACTAGTTTTAACTAGATTGTTTTTTTGTTATTTGAGCTTTGCATATTTTTTTGTAGTTGTATTCAGAAGTATCGCCGTATGCAGGACTTTTTTAAAATTATTTTTTTGTTTATCTTCGAGGGAGTTAAACTTTTATCTTTCTAAAGACTGATCGAATAAACCCCGTAAGTTGATTTGTATTTCAACTAAAATGAATATAGAGAGCCTAAAATTTCGGAGGATGACAGTTGTACCCTAACCCTCATCGCACGTCACTGCATGTTGTAATTTACACGAATGAGCCATTTATAGATGGACATTTTAACTTAATTCATCGATTTTATAAATAATATAGTATGCTATACTGAAAGAAAATGATCTCAAATTATTGAATGCCCACCTATAGGACACTGAATGACAAACCTAATTCAAAACGCACACGGTTATAAATATTATGTTCGTATACCTCGGATACTCGTTGTGATGTTAGAAATAATTATTTTGTTGTTGATATTATTATTGCGGTGCGTTGAGGTGGATTAATATCACATTATCATATTATATTACACCATACGAGTATTTCACTATAATTAGTTAACCTAAATGTACGTTATTTCGAATGTGTAGAATATATTACCTACCCAAAACATCATGACAATTATTATGTTTATTTATAAACGCATTTCCATAAAATGATTCAATAGCTATGATTGGGGGAAATATTAATGCACGTTTATTGTATATACTATGCAAAATCAAAATAGAAATGGCCAATAATATTATAAATTAGTATTAGAATAAATGCTTTAAGAATTATTGAAATGATAAGATAAGTCTTAAAATTTACTCTACCACAATCCATGTAGGTGATACCTATACTGTACAATTGTAAGAAAGAGTAAAAAAAAATTGTTGGTCAACAGTTTTGTTTAATATAATATATTAATATTTGATTAATTATGGATAAGATGTTGCATATTATTTAATTAGACAATTGTGTACTAACAAAGTTAAGGTTAGTAATAACTATTACAATTTTATGCTTTAGATTAATTTATCTAACGAATTTTATGGATGACTGATGACTGACGAGTAAAAGTAAACATACAATGAATGAAATATGAATAAATCTAAAACTAAAGAGAAGAAAAAAGATCTTGCTATACAATATTATTAATTAATTTAAGTTTTTGAATTTCCTAAATAACTAATCGTGGTTATTTTGTGCCATAAATTGTTGTGTATGTTTCGTAAAACTGCAACTGAATGCTGAATCGTTTATCGTTTAACAGATATTTGGTTCAACTGCCATCAAAAAAAAAAAAAAATATGTGACAGTATTTAATACTTAATTTAACCATTTTGTTTGTTAATAGTTCTCTGAAAATTTTCAATCTTGATAGCTTTTTTATCACCCTCTCCCTGTTTTTTATTGATTGCCAGGTAAAATATTTTAATATAAAACGAAACCTACTGTCGACATATACACAGAATCTCCTTAGAATGGCACTCAATTCGGGAGTTGTACAGAGTTCAATTCCAGATCTTGAATTATATTTATGGCTGAATTCCGTCCAATAATACGCTTAATTTAGTCCAATTTGTTTTAGAATTTGTTTGACATTTATGTTTTGACAGTCCTAAGTCTTTAAATCGGAAGGAAAATGTATTTTTGGATTCAATTATGATATTTTTTGGACTCAATTAGGTGTAAATTTAAGTTCAATGGACCCAACTGTAATACGTCATTCAATTCAAATAACATTTACTATTTTTTTATTGGTATGTACTATGTATAATAAAATGTTGGTGAGAATATATTTTGTTAAAAGATAAATTAAATTTGGTTCATATTCTATTACAATCTGTAGTAGACAATATTTACTTAAACATGAAACTAATTGTGTTTAGCAATTGCACTCAAGTTTAGGATATTGAATAATCAACAAAAATAAATCTTTATAAATTAGAATTTAATATCATAAGATTCTCATGTAACAAAATACTATACCTAAACATTACATTTTAGTTAAATTTAATTTTTAAACGTATATTGGGTGTTATAAAAATTAAAATATTAATTTTACTACATTAATTTTTACAAACCAAATGAACACAAGAACGTGACGCACATACTTCATGGTTATTTTGGTATTTTAAAAATGTATATTTGGTACATCATGGGAATATTTTAACTGAATTATTTTTTTTACTTGAAATTATACTATGAAATAAGTTAAATTATTTAAAAAACCAAACAATGTAGACAAGGAAACATTTTCTGTAGGAATATTTTACAGTATTTTTGATATCAACATTAAGATATAGCTTAGATAATGAAAATACCATGATACTAGTTGTAAAATATTTCGATTCCTTTAAACAAATAAGTCATGTATACGTAAACCATAGTAGAAAGTCGACTGTCGTGGTGTACACTTGTGTTATATGTATATTATGTATATTTTTGTATGTACATTTCAAAAGACTACCCCACAATTATTTGGCTACATAGATCCGTTATGTAGTATAAACCATGTGTATACAATGCACTTAAATATTGGCTGTTGACTTTTTTTAACTATCCAATATCGACAATATACATAGTGGTTTATATTATGCCGAGGCATATGGATCCTGTAAATGAGATAGCCCGTCAGTTAAACATCAGGTAGACTTAAGTTTACGACGCCTTCGTGCCCAAGAATTCTTGGGAACGTTAAACGATCTCCTTGTGGCATAAGTCCCGAATACCGTTGATTGGCTAGATGACGAAGTTGAGTCATTTTCAACATTCGAACCCTGTTGATCCTCGTATTTTGAATCAGTTCTAAAAAGTAAAAACAAAACAACAATATCGATTAGTATTTAGTATATTTTATTATTACGTGTACTATAATATGTAATATGTATGATGTACCTATTCAGTAGTAAAAAAATAATGATTTTTAATATTTATTGCGTAGTGTACAATACTATTCTGATCAACTTTTGTGAATTTGTTTTTAATTTAGTTTAATTTTATACCTACTTAAGTTCTGAACATACACAATTAATAATTGTTAAAAATATGGCCTGGAGTGGAGTGGTGGTTGGCCATAGTCACTTACGTGTGCTGCATTCAAGCACTATTCCGGCGCCGCAAGTTCCCGGATGGGTGACCATCCAGGTTCTTTGCGACGAATCCTTGGCTGCCCCCCAAAAATGAAAAAAATGTATCTTATACACTTATTTGATTTAAATTGTTTTATATTATTAAAATATGTATTTTATTTAAGTAAATTTAAAATTTAGTGAAATAAAAAGAGCATTTAAATTATTTAAAATTGTTTTGAAAAATCCAAAAATTAATTTTTCCGGTTATCATCACAGAAAATTGGAAACATTAATTAAAAAAATGTAAAGAATCTGAATAAAATTCGTTACAGTATCCACTATATCTAAACTAAAGATGGTCATTTTATTTTTCAGTACTTAAAATGTGCGATGTGTGTAGTTATTTATCATATTTAATAAACTCAGAAATCTATCGATTTTATACCAATGTATTTTTATATAAGAGCTTTTAAGTAATATTTTTACATAATAATATTTCCGTTATATGTATTTTATTGATTAATTCAAATAATATTTTTTTCATTTATTGAAAAGAACATTATTTGCACGTTGTGTATAGAATGCAGTCTAAGAAGATTAAATATCGTCAGACATTGTGTCAGACATGTTAGATTTTAAAGCAATTGTTTATATGTTTTCTAAAAGATTCTTAATAGATTGACACATTATTTTTTTTAAACTGAATAGAATAAATAATTTTAATATTAATACTTGATAGTATGTCATTATATAGATACATATTTATTATAACCCGTCAAGTAGTAGAGTTTTATTTTATTATGCTCTGAAATACCAGTAAATAATGAATTTAACATAATTGTATAGCATTATTTATTATTTTGACCGATAGAGATTTTATTAAGATACCAATGTTACATTTTTATTAATAAAAATCATTTTGTGTATAATTTATTATTGTCTATGCAATATTACAAGTATAAAATTATCATATTCTAATACTCAAAGACAAGTACAATATTTCTAATTTTTATATTCATTAAAAATAAAAGTGTAATGTTCAACTTATAACGTTTTCTATGGTAAAAATTACTAATTATTAATCATTATTACGGCATCATTAAAATAGTGTTTGAAAATACATAACACATGCACTTTGCGACTTTATATTAAATTGCAGTAAATTTAATAGAATTTACAGTATTTTTGAAAAAAAAGGATACTAAAAAGAGTTATAGGAGTTTTTTCAATGTAACAAGTAACAAACCTAACAAAGTACCTACTACTAGTGCTAAGTTCCTGATCGAAAAGTCATATGTAATTTTTAACTTTTAACTTTTAAGGTATTTCTACTACCCAGAAGAAAAGTAAATTTGAAATCATTATATATTATAAAACAAATAATATGTATTCACAATAAGTTCTAAGATATCTGAAAACAACAACTAAAAATTAATGTTAATCATGTTCAAATGTGATAAATCTAACATTATGTATTTTATAATATTATATGGCAGCGTTTGGTTTCATACAAAATTTTAAATGCGTCAGAAGTTTTTGAAAAAAAAAAAAAACAAAATCCAGAGAAAGAATATAAGGAATCCAAATCTTAACAAGTTTTTGGCAAATGAAGCTCAGTAACGATTTATCATTGCCTTGAAACTTGAATTCCCCCACCCAATTCGTGCATAAAATTGTATTAATATTACAGTACACCCATTAATAATTTATGAAATTGAATGCAAATATTTTGACTCGAAATCATATTTAACTGTAATACCGCAATTATATCTCTCCACCTCTGCCACTAAAAACATCCGAGCAACTGCAAACAAACGCCCCGATCTGCAGAGTAATCTGTCTACCGCTTAATAACATTCACTTACAATAATGACATTTGGTAGATTTTTTTAAAAATGAGTACTTTAAATGCATAAATACAAAAATGCTAATAAAAGTTTTTGCACGACGGAAGAACGTAAATAACCCCGCAATCCCGTTATATTATACGTTTTTTCTCCTTTGACATCGACCAGCCCACTGTACCATTTCTCATTATTTATTTGATGTTCGTAGGGCGAGACAGAGACGTTAAGCGTATAATATATTGTTTATCTAATATAATTTAGACAAAAGGAGGCGCTAAAATGGACAAATATTACAATAGATAATGGCGTATTGCAGAATGCTATTCATTTCTGAACAAATTTCCGAATACGAATATACGACGGAGTTGTATAAATTATCATTATGAGAATTTTCGTGAAGGCAATTGTTGTGCGTTGCTGAAAAGATTAAGTATTGTACATCGATCGACATTTTATCGATCAAAACGTATTTTTATTAACACTCCTATTAAATTAAATTGCTTGCCCAGAGAAACGAAAACAAAACCTCAGGAAATTGCTCCAAGGTATCCCGAAACAAAACCAAATACGTATTCTTATAATATAATACATTAACTATACCAGAAAATAAGAGATTTTTAGTTTTTCCATATAGAGTAGAAAATAATAAATAAATAAAAATTTACTTTAAACCTTTCTAATTTTATAGGCATTCACGTTCTAGTAAAATTAACATATTATTGTAATATCCTTAAAAACAAAAACGATCACAAGACTCTATGCAAACTCAATGTACGAGTAGATATATACGAAGCTATATATAAAGGCTATCGGAAGGTAGATGTCTAGCTGAAACGCTCTTTTAATGCTTCTATGTAATAATTTTAAAATTTCCTGGAAAATATTTTGAGAGGAATATAATCACTTTATTCCTTTAAAAGTTACGTTTTTCAATATACTTTAACACAAAGTTTTTCAATCATCAATATTCCTATTAAATTTTGTGGACCGGATGCTTTGAAAATGTATGTTTGAAGTTTCACACTAAAATTATTTTGTTTCTCGTATTATTTAGTTAATTGTGATAAATATAACAATTATTTTTAGGCGGACATATATTTTAATTAATTTTTTTTAATATTTACATTGAATGATATTTGACAACTCGTATTTGTTCTTCCAATTCGGTAATTTTTTCATTGAGCTTGACATTTTGATTGTAATATTCGGTCACGAGATTTGACAACCGAGAAGTCACATCTTTCATGGTGGTATCTGAAAAAAATAAAAGGATATCGCAACAATCAAAATTTATCATCTCGTACGAAATATATGATAAACATATAATGATATTATATGCCATATAAATACGAATACGATTAGTAGAGGTACAAAAATATTATGTTAATAATATATTATTGGTATAGGTTCATAATATAATATTAAATAGGCATAAATTAGTATAGGTACATAATATAATATTAAATAGGCATATATTAGTAGTAGACTTATTAAATTTGTCCATATTAGTCGAATGCGTTTATTAATTATTAGTATATTATATTGCTATATATTTTGTTAAATACAATTAGGTAGTTACACTTGTTATATAGATTATAGATATTACTATATAGTGTTATAGTATTATGCGAATAACCATTAAATTATCAAATAACGGCTGCAGTGTTATAGACATTTTAATTATGTTGTGTTTATTTGTCAAACCACATTATATGTATACAATAATGTAATATAATACAATAATACAATACTATATTGTTGTAGTTATATAAGGTATACCGACTTTGCAGCGGATACAGCATGCTGCAGAGATGTCATAGCGCGCGAACAGGAAGCGTCAGAACTTTGGTGTGTGCATTATTATTATTATTATTATTGCTGTTGTCATTACGGGTGAATTTAAGTATTCTTTCGAATACTTTGTTTTTTATTTTTTTTTTTGTTCTTTGTTTGTTTTTGGATCCATTACAGAAACGAAATACGGAGTGGTCTGAGTAGCTGGGCGTCAACTCTCTCCATATTATAAAGTATATATATATAATAATAATAATATATATATAATATATAATAATATATACGTTGCCGTCACCACCACCACCGCCGCCCCCGCCGCCTCAACCATATATGCTGTTCTATGTATTACGCCTTAGTTCGAGATGAGACTGTAATATATACGATATACCCGCGGCTGCAATGGAGGAATGAGTTAACGGGTGAATTCAGAACGCACAAATTGCCCGGCGTGTAATATATATATGCATGTACAAGGGTGATTCACCAAACTCGCTCACCTCCATTTTGTCAATATCATCTCAAGGTTTAGAAATTATTATTTTTTTTTTTTTGAAGATGAAAACCGCCTCTTTTTACTGGAAATTGTTAAATCAATTGATTTTTTTGAAGATGTTGATGTTTCTAAATGTATACTCGAACGAATAGTTTATACATATATAGTTAATAAGACGTGTTATTAACACCACTATAATAGTAAAGATTGTATTATAACGCTTCTCTTGAAGTAACATTATTACAATTTTATAATAAATAATATTTCAAAATTATTTTTATTTTTTTGAATAGGTATTGAAAATCATGAACAATTAATAATTACTTTGTACTTAAAAATTCATAAAATATGGAATGTAAATACCTATATAAGGTATTTGTGCTTAAGATTAACGAATTTCTATACTGTACCCGAAAATTCAATCATTCCGATAATAGATTAGTAGTTCTATCGTCAACCTCATGGCTATTGGTGATATTGATTTTCTATTTTATTTTTAGATTATGCATTAGCGAGTGGTCGTGATTCACACAAATTGTTCATGGAAAATTCGAAATATTTTTTAGTGAAAATATTTGTTTAAAAATTTAAATATTCAGTCATATTATAATATGTTTTATGGATTTACCTACTTACCACCATTTTTGAGAAACAATAAATTCGTAAATTTAAAATATTAAATTTATTTTTTCAATCATTTTTTAGGGGGTTAGGGCGATTGCATAACAAAAGTGCTGAACGCGGGCACTTTGTAGTTTGTACGGTAGGGTAAAATTACACTTTGTATTACCTAGCTTTAATATAAGTAATGACAATTATAGGTAAGTATTATATTGTAACACAAACAAATCTGAAGTCATAAAAAATTATATTAAAAGTATTATTTAGTCTAATTATCATTTAGTATACCTATTTAAGTTTGTATTTAGTTACAAGCTTACAATAGACGGTATTTTAAACCTTTATTTAAAAAAAAAAAAATTATTATGATTTGCTTGTATTATAAATATTTTAATTTACTTTATAACATTTTTCATTGACTTTTTAATAAAACTTTTTATAATTATTATGAAAAAAATGTTTAAATCTCATCGAACTTTTTAACATTATATATTATATACTTATATGATTGCATATATCATATTATTTTATATTTTTATATGTATATAATAGTAAAAATAAAAATAGTGACCACCTCGTTCTGCAATCTAAATTTTTACCTGACCGTACAAAGAGTTCACGTTGTGCATTTTAAGCAACGACCGTAGTAAGTGACCGTTTACCAGCAATAGGACAACTTGGATGTCCTCTCCAATATGCCTCTGCTTAACAATTTACAGTAAAAAAGGATGACTCATTTAGTAAATTATGTTTTTACTTCAATAGGACACTGTTGCGTGACTTCTCTTTTGAACGCAACTTATGGCAACAAATCTATGTAAATAATTCAAAACAAGATTTTCAAGTATACTTAACAATTCCAAAAATCATTTACCAGGAGTAAAGGAGAATACAGAGGTGAGCATTATTGGCAAACCTGACATATAATATTATTTATATAGAAATTATACTATATAGAATAATGTATATCATAATGTTTTGTACACAATTGAAAGGGCCATTAAATCGTACAAATGCAATACAATACCGCCACAACAACAACAACAACAACAACAAAAACATCTGCAGTAACCTTCACCCAGATTTATCGTTACGATATACAGGGTGTGTCCCGCGAGGATTGACCACTATGGTCATGGCAAAAAGTGGAAGATCAATTGATCGAGTTCTGGTGACTGGTTGTAGTCAGTAAATCTTCGCGGGACGTAATCTCACCGTACTATTAAGATGGCGTTATACCCGTACATAATATATGTCTTCGTCTTAAAAACGCATAACACACCCATTTCGCACTCAGAACAATACATTTAATTCTGTTGTTTATGTATGATATTAGAATGAATGTATTGCTCTACAGTAAAAATTATTAAATAATATAAGAATATTACGCAGGACCACACGTATAGAGTTATTGATATTTCAATTTGGTTATGAGCATTATACATTTTACAAAAAAACCGACAAATTATAGAATGCTAATAACCTGGTTCAAAATATAAAAGACCTGTGGTCCCAGATGATATTCTCACATTTAAATGTGAAAATAATAGAGTTAAATGGATGTTCTGAACGAAAGTCCTGCAATGTTGTGCGTACGCATAATATAAGACAAGGACAATAATTAGTAACAACACATGCGGGTACAACGTCTTCGTAGCGGGCGCGCAATAGCAAGTGTCCGTCACCCGTCCGCTTTGGCGACGTACAAACTTGAGCAAATTGCTTCCGGTTTGGTTTGATAACGACTGTCGAGAATTTTGACTTGTGCTTCGACTGCTTGCGATTGGACTGCCGCAGAGTCGGCTGTCCGAAGTCGTCCCTGCTAATGGATCTAATGTATCCTTCCACGCCTCGGTTCGGGTGGTTACAGTCTATATTTTATATACATATTATTATAATATATAACTTTATAAGTAGTGCGTAGATGTAAAGAACAAAACACGTGTTTGCGACAGATCGGTATAGTAAGGTTAAGGCGAATAAATAGACACAATTATTATACTAATATAGTTTGTAGATGCAATAAAGTTGAAAATAGTGTGAAAAAAAAAATGAACACCAGTAATTACACAACTAACTTAAGGATATTGAAATTAACTATCACAAAAAGTAATAAAAAAATAAGTTCATAACAAATCCAAACATATTTTAAAATATTGTAATATAATATAATATATTCATTATTATTTATTCATAATATGGAAAAATTAATTATACTGAGCTTTACACATAATATTGCATCATTTAATGAGGGGTCCTTCGGTCTACACCCTTTTTAGTCTCCATTGAAGTACCTATCTATTAAAAGTGTTTATTAGTATGTAAAACATTAACTATATGAATTGATAATCAAACGAATTTGGATGGTGATAAAATAGGGTTATTTTACCTCCAAAACGACCACAGATAATGCATTTTAGGATATCAACATTTATATGATATTTATTACAATATTATTATCTTAGGTCTAAAATTGTATTACATAATTTATTGTGTATATCTACACACAATATTTATTGATTAGGAAAATAACTACCAGAGGAGCCTGTTGTGCTTGTTACTTTAGTAGTTTATCTTTTTACATTATCCATTTGACTTTCGTATAACGTAGGGTATCTATAATAATAATTTTTAGTGCATTTTCACATTTGATAATATTTTAAATTTAATATAGTCAGATAAAATTAAAAATTAAAAGCTTTAAACATTTTCAACTAAATGGACACTTTTACAATACATTTAAGTTTGCTTGGTTATTATTTACTACAAATTAGTGCTCGAGATACTGTAATTATATTAAATTATCAGTATTGAATATCTGCCATAAATCATTTTTGTGTAGAATCTTACATTATTGTTCATCTTACGAACTGTCATCATTTATCAGATGCAACCATATGTGATGGCATTTGATGGGAATTTAATCTTACAACACCATTATTTATTTTTCATCTAGTTCAGTTTTTCTAGAACTATAATAAAATAATTACACGATTTTCAAGAGTTACCATAGATAATATTTGCTATTTATATATATACGTAATATGTATTCGCTTACAGTTTAAATTCTCATGTCCATGGCATTTAAAACATATATATGGCATATTGTTATTACTTATAACATATTTATTATTAATACAATTTGCAGTATTTCAACATCAAATAATTCAACTTATATTTATTCTCTAACGACAAAAGTTATATATTAATATCATTACAGCAATATGATCGATTAAATTAGCTATTAATGTCATTCAAATATTAAATTTAAACTTTGGAAATATTCAAAAGAAAATCGAGTCATTTTTTTAAACATTTTCGAATGAAATCAAATAAATATCTAGTATTGAATTTAAGAAAACTATTACGAAGAATGTATTCTTTATATTAAACCATATTTTCTTGATACCAATGTATGTTACGACTAATATTACAAAAATATAAAATAATATAAAGTGTTCATGACATTTAACATTTCAGTGTTATGTCTGCTATGACACTTTATTAAATTGTTATTATTGTTGAAGGCAATATAGCTTAAACACGTTATTACCAAAAGAAAACGAATTACTGTACGATTCGTACATTATTAAATAAATTATTAGTCCCATATTAATGATGACAAATATTTATTTTCTGTTTTTAAAGCAATAACTTTTTATGACAAAATTGCATTGTTTTGTGAAGAATAATTTGTGAAAAACAAACTTTAGTCATTAAAATAAAGCTTTATGGAAGTGCGTCAAAAAAAAAAAAAAATGTTAAAATTAATAATTTTAAAAACTTATCAGAATTTTCACTTTGTTGGGCGTAAAATGTCAAACATAGTAATTTATAATGAAAACGTATTGGTAATACGGCGGTGAAAATGTACCTATTTGTAATTGAATAAAAATGTTATATACATACCTAATCTAGACACTGCTTCGTTAATGGTTTCATTCTGCGTTTGAGCTTGCAGGAACGCGTCCTCGTCTAATAGCCTATCTTTTCGCAGTAGCTGACAACCACGTTGCATTAGGCTGTGTCTAGCTTCGGGATAATCCCTTAGTGTTTCCCAGAGATCTCTTTTGGACAGACAAAATAGATCAGAGTACCCTAAACTCCGGACGTTGGCTGTACGACGATTGCCTGTTTTGTTTCCAGCTATTTCTAGTACGCTTACCTAGGGAACAATGAAAACAAATGTAATCAATTGGTTTTATTGATTTTTGACTTGAAACCAAAAATATGGCTTACACGTGGTGTTTAATGCGTAAACTAAACGTTTTAGTATTAAACATCGACTCGATTTGATCCCATGCAATTTTGATTTAATACTTAATGGTATTGTTATATACTTCATCTAATATAGAAAAATCTCGCGTCACAGCGTTTGAGGTCGGCTCTCCCGATTTGAACGAATTTTTTTTTTTTGTATATTTGGTAGGCATGAGAACGGGTCATAAAGTATTTTTTACCCTCTTACCCTCATCCACAACTTTTTAACCTAACCTTTTGAGATTTACGGGGGAAATTTTTGTTTATAAATGGTTGCGAGCTGTTGGTTATAGGAGAAATATAAATATATTTAGAAGAAATTGGTATTTTTTGTTTATTGGTTGTCAGTGGTCAATTAAGCAGATCGAGTATGAGCATGCACTAAATTTAATTTTCACACATTGTCTACCAAAGTTGGTCTTATAGCCGCCCATCAGCGTTTTCGTAATCAAAATCAAAATAAAAATAAAACATATTATTTACATAGAGTACACATCAAGCGGAGTCCGCAATATAACTGCGGTGGATTGCCTACCCGATGTACTGCTCCCATTATCACAAGAGAGTCTCATATAAAGTTGGCATTTTTAACGGGAGCGAAGTGCGCGGGATTAGTTAGTAAATAATATTATTATTTAAGAACTTTAGTTGTAGTAAAAGCAATAGAAATTATATATTAAGATTTAAATTGGAATAAAATAATAAAATACGTTAATATTATCAAACATATTTAGGGTTTTACTTAGTATAATTCATTATTAAATACACATTGGTGTTTTAATCTTATTGTATAATACTTGTAAGCTCTGATAATCTTCTTATATTAGAAGCCATTATTTATTCCTCTTAGAGTTACTAAATACTTAACTATTGGTGTACTATTATATAGTTACACTACAAGTTTGTTAGTTTCTACATTCTATACTAAATATTAATCTAATTTTAAAGGATTTTGAAGTCCGAGAAAATTTTAAATAAAACTTTTAAACGCAATAAATACAATAAAATGTTATAAAAAAATAGTTTGAAATCAAAACTAATACTACAAAAAAGAATAATATAGTAAGAACCTTGATAATGTTATAGATTATAAACTTATAAAATGTTTTTTCAATAATAACAAATAACAATTACCTTGTTATGTTTACCATAAAATCGTATTAAGCTATACTGTGCTATATTTCTTACAATTAATCTACTATATATTATAAAAATATATTAGTTCATACATTTATATTGATTGACCCAATATATATATATACATAATATACATATTTGTATGTTTATAATATTTAGATAACATTTCTAAATAAATAATTAACAGCCATATTTACTCTATATAATATCACTTCAGTCATAATCATTAATTTTTTTTCATACTCACAGTCTATAGACTATAGCACTATGCAATCACTATCAACTAAGATAATGTTGACTGGAAACGACGTGGTTGGAGGGTGTGGGGGCCCGTTCTTGTTTAAATACTGATTTTGTGTGAAAGAGGAACCAAACCTGGTAATAATTTTGGTATAGGAATTTACATAAATCTATAAACATGTACATAATATAGGACCATAGATAAAAGAAGCCTCCTAATTTCTACTTTTACGGAATATTCCGAATATCGTTTCCAGTCCATAGTCTATATTATCTATTAGTTCATGACAATCACTCACATTAATTGGTACGTTTACGAGTATATTAAACTATTAAGGCTTAAGAAGAGATTGAACTGTAGTCTTATAATTTTAAAAATATATGCATAGTGAATGAATGTTCTGTGCGATTTTTTTAAGTTAAAAAATTAAGGACTAGTTGATGTGCTTATTTACATAATATATTAAAGGCATTCGACTATTTATTGGAATGTTTTTATATTTAAAAAAAATATAATACTTCAAGTATTTATAACACAAAATTTGAAATTAAGGAAAGTTGAGTGGAGTCTCCATTTAGTCTCTTTCATGATAGTATCAGTAGGACTATTACTCAGATTAAACTTCAGCTTAAAACATTACTAAGTATTTGATTTTTATTATTTAGGTACGCATAAGCATTTTAAGTTGTTATATTTAAGGTTATAATGAATTTATTGTAGAAATTGGAATTTTTTTACTTCTGCGTAGAAGAGGTATGGAAATTATAAAAATACATTTTTATTTTTTTGTTTAAAACAGCAATAAGTTAGTATTTTACAGTCAATAAAACTGTGTTATATACAGTTAAAGAAAAACCCCTGGGTATGATTATAGTTGTATGGAAAAATGAAGAAGGAAAAATCCATGGTGTAACATTTCATGACCGGTGGCCATCCGTTAAAAACCTTGTAACGATACCGATTTTATTTTGACATAACGAATCAGATCTATGTTGTTGGTAACCATAATTTCGGATATGTTATAAGTTATTGTTAGGTACTGAATATTATTACTTTTTTTCTAAGTACCAGAAAATCATAGTTGCATATAATATTTTATTTCTTGGTATTTGTTTCTTTTTAGATTATCATGTATTTCATTCCAAAATAAGATTAAAAAGTGTTAATAATTAATATTGTATTATAAGCACCTATTCGAATAGTTTATTAAGCGATAATAACCGAATGCCCGAATTATTAATTATTAATTTACACTTGCACTTGGTCATAACAAAATATTGTTGAGCTCTTGTGGGTTTAAAACATGTACCTATAACAATGCATGCGTTGAATGATTGTATTTTGTGGTGGTCATACATATAACACATCGAACGATAATTGTAATAAATACCATAGTGGCATCGGCATGGCACTTTAATGGCAATGTTAACGGTAAAAAGCAGTGATTTTATTTTAAAACATACCAAATCACCAAAAATAACATAAAAAAGATCCTCTGTTTTTTTGCTAACTTAATTTGTTATTGTGCATATTTAAAATGTACCCCGAAATGAAACGGTACTGACATTCGAAAAGGGAGTATGTTTAATTGGTGCCATTTGTGTTTCTCCTAATTACAGCCATATACACGCACATATATACATAAATACATATCCAAATACAAAAGCGTATACATAATACATGTATATAGGTATATGCATATAATATATAAATCTTTCCTCTTGTATATTTTCCAAGAAATACACCATGTACAAGTGTTTCAAATTTTGCATAATATAAAGTTGTACTTGATAAATCACATAGGTAGATACCGAATTTACTAAACATATTGCAGTTTTGGAACCTAGTTAATGTTGGGTATAGTTGTATAATTAAATTTAAGTGAACAGTAAATTAATTATAAAGTTCGATACTATAATATATTTTTCTTTTTAAATAATATTGAAGCAAGTATCAAGTTTTTAGCAGGATTTTGTATTGCTAATATAACATAAACAAAAAGTTTTAAAGTATCTCGCCCAAAAAATCTGATTGAAGGCTCACAATTTCCAACAAAATGTAATATTTTACATGATAATTAAAGAAAATGGCAACTTTAATGGTATGTAATATGTGTTTAGGTATAAACAGTTTGTATTATGAAAATCAAATTAAACAAACTAATTAAATGTATATGAAACTTTAATTTCAAACAGATTTAATGAGAGTGCCACTGCTAAGGAAAATTATTATTATTACATATTGTCACAAACATATTTTTAAAATGTTGTACCAAATACTATATAATAAATGTTTGTTATATTTTAATTACTCGCTTATTTTAGGATAGGTACTGTGATGTATTCACAAATACCTATGGTAAATTTCGATTGCCTTTATCTCACAATAATGAAATATTAAAATATTGATTTTTTTTAAATTGTCTGACTGACATGTGGTTACAATTAAATGTAATGACTAATGAGGATTGTAATGACCACGATTTTTAGCGAGATATTTAAATCAATTAAATTGTATGTTAATTACTTTTGTTTTTATTAAATGATTATAACATTTTAGTGATTTTACATAATTTATTTAAAAATAAGTTATCAAAAATAATACCGAATCTAATATAATTTTATCAATGTTTTAAAATTAATGATTATGCATGCAAACTTATACCAGTGACACACCAATACACCATATTTAAAATATGAATTAAGATCTAGAATTTATAGCTTGTATATGAGGCAGTGACAACTAATTATAATTTTAAGTGCGACATTCTATAGTTTAACAAGTATTTAAGTCTTAATTAAAAATGAAATCTAGATGTTGAAACCATAGATTTTTTATGACTTTATGAGTAATAAATTGTCGAAGATCAAAATTGAAGTACTATAATATAAGAAAAATCAATATGGATTAAATAGTTGTACTGTATAGAACCTATGGGTACATAAAAAAACTCGTTTGTTTTATTACTGACCTCTCCAAAAACGCTTCCAGCGCTTAAAGTGGCGATTTCGGTTTTTTGGTCGTCAGCAACGACACTGAGAATGCCTCGCTTTACTATATACATCTCTTTGCCCACATCTCCTTTACGACATATGTAGTCTCCAGGGCTGAACACCTAATTATTATAGGAAAATAAAAAACGATAGAAATTATAAAAAAAAAAATGTACAGGTTGTATGGTACTGGTGGTACGCACTTGGAGTCTGAGCTTGAGCACGAGTTCTTCTAATAGGCCAGGTTCGCAGTCCTGAAATATCTCGACCTTCTTTAATGTGTCGAGATGTACGTGTATAGCTATCTCAGCTTTTAGTTTATCTGGTAAAGCTGCCAACACACGTTCTTCATCAAGAGCCTAATATTATAAAGTGTGATGTTATTACTTGTGTTATTGTAAAATTAGAATATAAAATAATGGTACAAACATGATATAATTTAAAAATGCATACCGTGTTTATAAAAATTGACTATTGATATGTAAAGAAATTAAGTTATTAGTTTTTTAAAAACTGTCTCACATCAGAATTCATTATTTATTTGAATTCAGGTTTCACAAAAAGATAAATATTGGAAGTTTTATGTGATTTTATTTGAAATCATTTATAGTTCATTATACCCAAATTAAAACGTGTTAAATTATCTAACACTATATAAACACGTTTGTCGTTAGCTTATTCATGTATCAAATTAGTTATATTTCATAGCTTAATATTACATAAATTAGCTGTTAGATTAGTATTTATACAAGTATAGTATAATTTTAAAATTAGAGTTTTTAAAATTGTTCGTGCACTATAAATTCTCAAAGCTATTATGTATACCTATTACCTAATATTTTTTGTTTAATTAATTTTTAAAAGAAAAATATTATTTATTTATACATAATATGACGTATTTATATGTTGTATAATATACATAAAATAATCAGTTGGGAAAGACCCAGACGTTATCTGTAAAAGTTTTTGTAATTTATATTTAGCCGCAGCCGTTGTATGATACAACATATTATTTTTTACCTCTGCGTTCTGTCCATTGTACTCTGTCACGCTGTCTAAACTTTAAACATCGGTCAATATCAGTGGCATTACTCAAAATATTTCCCACTTCAAATTTAAAACATGAACGCAAAAGAACTTTAAAGCTATTTATAATGATCAAATTGTATTTGATATAAACATTCAAGTTGGGTAATTAATTATTCCAAAAATAAAAACAAAAAATAAATGTTCGTTTACTTTAAAATGTATAATAAATAATTTAATTGATTGATATTGTGAAATATATTTATTTTTTATACCTAACAGAGTATAATATTATACGGAAATTTAATTTTAATCCCATGTAGGTGGTCCTGTAAGGAAAATAATATTACACAAAATATGATTTTCTCAACTGCAAAAATGTGCTCAGAAAATACATAATACCTATATCTCAATTTATACACTTTTACTGAAAGGTGGAGAATAATCGAAACATGCAAATAGGAGATCGTGTTTAAATTCGCAAGAGAATGATTCGAATTTGTATCTTGGTTATCTAAATATCGGATTAAAACATATGCAAATTCTATAACTGCTATATCTTAGCCCTTAGCTATAAGCAAAAAATTGATTTACGCCGTTTGAGATATTTCACAAACTAAAATTGAATTTTCTCTTTATCGCTTTTCAACAGAGTCGGTACGTTCATCTTTATTTATTTTTCTAACGCCTACTGCAGTATCTGAAATTTTAGATTCTGAGTGAAACTATTTTTTTTTTCAACCACTGTAGAAGCTAAAATAAGTGCTACAAAAGTTCCAAGTATAGTGTTATTTGTTGATTGGAAATCAATTGTAATCAGGGCTTTGAAGATGTCCATTTTTATTCAATAGTTGTTGAGTGCGCAAGGAAAAATTATCGACAACTGGTGAAATACATTGAATATACACGAGGTCTAAACAGATATCCGAGAAGAATGGAATTTTGAATGCGATGATCTATTATTGGTTTAAAATGTAAACCATGTAATAAAACACTTTATTTTCTACTACACCGAGATGATTGAAGTGATACGAGTTCTCAACTTCCAATCTGAGCATTCTGAATTATAAACAGCCTTTTGTTTGTTCATTACGAATATTTTAATGGCAATTTTAGTTTTCAATCGGTTCTTAATAATTTCAAAAATCAATATTTTAATTATTGTTATTATATAAAAACAACGGTCGTAAATTATTATTCACCATGGTGTAATATATTTTTATTACATTTTTATTTTAAACCTTTTTAGTTTTTTCTCGGATCTGTATTATAACACCAGTGTTATTTTCAAAAGTTTTTCGATCACTTCTTTTATTATTTCTTTTTTTTTTTTAGGGGACCAATACAAAACTTTTCAGACATTATACAATACGTAATAATAATATTTTATATATTAAAGCATAAATTGAAAACCACAGGCAATACGAATATGTGATGGAATACTAAATATATCACCATAGTGGTGGTCAGTGGTGTAAATTAAAATACCTGCAAAGTTTTATCCTATACCCTGGAATATCAATATTTATTTGATGTATAGATATCTTGTTATTTGGTATAGTTCCTTAGTGATATGACGGTATAATGACGTATAATCTGTCAATGTCATTATTTATTACATTATTATTCTGGAAATTTAAACATATTGTATTCGTTTCTATTCAGCATCATGGACAATTATTTTTTTTCCAATTTGGTACTCTTTAGTACTCTTATACATTAAGATTCAAACACAGTCACCTATTGCAGGTATCTATGTGTATAGCTAGTTAACGCATAAATAGTTTAGAATGTAAGAATGGACATGGGGTGATTTATTAACACGGTATAACTGCCAAATGTGTTATTCAATTTTGAAAAGGAGATATTATGCCTGTATACATTATTGTTATTACTGTTATTATTATTATATACGTTTCTATATAATGGCAGTGTAAATATATTACAATCATAATGGTTAGGGTTGTATTATAAATGTATTATTGATATATTATCTTGCATGTGTTAACAATAGTGTGGTGGGTACCTGTATATATTATGTGAAATATCAGAAAACAAAATTATTCATTCGATGCAAAAAATACAAAAAACACATTATAAATTATAATAATGTATTATATGTTATCCACTACGGTGATACACTCAACGAATTCTTGTAAAAAGGGGGTTTTGCAAATATTATTTAAGAAAGTATTATTAAACTTGAATGTAGGCTTTTAAATGTTTTATTACACCGACTGCGACGTGATTCTTACAGAAACTTACGATAATTTACTTTGTTATAAAGCGATCGGCACCACTAAGACTTATTTACAGTGAATAATATAACGTAGTGTGCCCAAAAACAAAAAATACGAAATTAATAAAATTAATGCCAACGTGCGCTGGCACATAGCTGCAGCTATGGTGACAATTTTTAAGCTTTACAGCCGAAATTTGAAATATTGTTAAAAATAATAAATCATGGCGAAGTCCTGCAATATGTCACGCGTGCCTTTATGTAGGTGTTACGGCGAGAACAAAACGATTCGTTTATAACAACTCTGATTCTATAGATGTTAATTAAGAACGTATATAATATATAATTCATCACACTCTGCTCGTGTATGCTGCGTTTGACGTGATTTTTATACAATAATCATCCGGAGGCAGAGCGCTATAATTTATTATGCAAATGATTATGCATCGTCGCGGCGGCTTATTTGCAGAGTACAACTCATATTGTACGCAAAAATACGTTTAATGACTTAAATTAATGATTGCACTCGCCGGCCGACGCGAAGAGTTGATGCCATGTAAATCTGCTGTAATGCGACAAAACGTTGAAAATTCAATACGTTAAACAAATCTATGTCGACTTATTTAAATAAATATTTCATCGAAATCATGTATTTACATATAGTAGTATTAAAATAACGAACCCCTCTCGGCGGGGTATAAATCACGCCGCCTCTGAACCGTGTGTATTATTTTACAGATGATTATTATACATAGTTTTGAATGAAATTACTAAACGATCACCAAATCGATGTTGTACCGAATTGTGTATGAAGTCAATATAGTGATGGGACTTTGAGCGAAACTACTGATATGAATCGCAATATTAGCTTATTTTTCAGCAGTTGCTGCAACACTATAATGTCAGATTCGATTAGAACAACAGCACTGTCATACAAACTACCTAATGATATCAAAAGCGAAATTGGGCCATAGATCTGTAATCACAAAACATTTATAATTTTATTAAGAATTTTTAATCTTTTATTAACGGAATTTGTAATTTTTTTTATCGGGTTATATGTCACATAGCTGAACAATAATATCTAGGCTTAATTGAAACAATTCAATAATAATAAATAATGACAAGAAAATAAAAGAGTGCCTCGCAATGTATGTTCATAGATAGTGACTTATGAGTTATGAGTTATGAGTTATGATATATTATAGTTATAATAATAATAATAATGAAAACAATAACCATAGTTGTAATAGACAATTGTTATATTCGATGTATGGCTAATAGTAATTTACATCTTTATTAGATTTTTTATTATGACACCACTATCTTTTTAGGCTTTTTTTTTGGAATTCTCTGGAACAGCTGCGGATAATATTTAGGTGAGGTAATAAATACATAATATTTGTGGCTTGAGTGAGTGTGAATGGAGGAAAGAGGTAGGACTGAGGAATAATTTACTGCTAATAATACCAAAACTGCAGGGCAATACAGAATTTTTTTTTCACACACTTTCGTAGTCAAATCAGACTACATCTACAACGGACTGAGGAGTTAGTGATTTGGTACTCCGCATGGAAAACAATACCACAATTATGTCACCCACAGTATAATACATTAATACGTGTCGGTGAATATTACTAACGCTTTGGGCTTGGCTGCCACACCAATGGAAAAATTAAAACGAATATTATTTGGAAAAACACTAAAATATGTACCCAGAAAAAAACGTCCACCCGCACAGATTTACGTTCCGAATAGCTGATGACGCGAAGCTGTTAGCCTGAAAATCGCTGTGTACTACACAGACATGAGGAAGAGTGTCGTTGCCACATTTGAGAATAATTATAGTATGTTGCACTAAAAAGTGGTAAGCAGAAAAATGTCCAAGGGAAAAAAGCCCAAGGAAAAAAAGATTTTTTTCTAGCCTTTTTAATTGGGGTTTTTTCTGCTATTCCCGAAAAGCATATCAAACGGAGAGGTTCTAAACATAACTATCGTGGATTTATGGTTCGAAGATCTGCTATAATATACAATATACGTACGTATTGTCATGACTCATGGTACATCACCAAGTATGTCCACTCCCATTTTTCG